TTATCTAAACTTCCAGATACAAAATTATTTGTCTTTTTCATAAAATTTAAAGTAAACACATCATCTGTATGCTTACTCAACAATTAAACTTGAATCAATTTTCCTTATTGATATTCAAATACTTTAATGTCCTTTTTACATCCAGCTAATACGATAGATAAATCTTTATTAAAAGCTATAGCATGAGAATATTTATCTTATTTAATTGATTGCTAATTCATGAGCTCAAAGGAGCATTGGTCTGAATTTGTTTTAAAGTTACTTAGTTGTTATGACTATTAAAATATTAATTATTTTCCTTCTAAATGTTGAAATTTTAAATTACACTATTCCTTTTCATTTGTTTGATTCTTTATTTTTTTTAATATCTAATCAATTATCTATTTGATTTATTCAATAGACTAATTAAGTTGTTTAAATAATATTTCTTCGCAACCTTCCCATTAACAATACCCTTTTATAATTTTATCAATCTATGAAATTCCTATTTCTGAGAATTACTATATATTAAAGTTAAGATAAGGAATCAAAAAATTGAGAAGACAATCAAGAGATAATTTACACTCTTAAACATTCTTTTATACATTTTGAACACTAAGGATTCGTAGTTAAATCCATTCATTAAAAAGTTCTTAAGTTGTTAATCTTTCAAGATGTTGACCATGTTGAGGCAAGCAAAAATGACAATAAGGTCTTTAATTTGGGCATTTGCTATCTATGCAAAGTCCAATTATCTATTGATTTCGATGATCAGCTTAGGTACATCTAATCTACATTTTCTATATCTATTAAAATTATTATTAAGAAGCAAATTATTATTGATCATATAAATACCAAAAATTCAATTATAGAATTTAGCTTTGAAAGAAGTATTTAGAAATAATAATCTAAAAAGAGATTTTTTTTAAAAATATTGAGGATTTGAATACCATGAATTTGAAAAGGCGGACATAAAAAATATTGATCATATTGAGGCTAATACTTTAAGAATACCCCTAATTTAGACTTATTTAGTGCATGATAATCATAAATACAATGATCATATTTATCAGGTAGGGAAAAAGAAATTTATATATTGAATTTAAATGAAAAGGAATTCCTTCTTAAAATAACAAAAGTTAAATATAAGTAAAAGTCCAATTAATATATCAAGCTAATTTATAGTTCTATAAAGTAATCTTTTAGGAAATAACAAATTATCATAAAGAATATGTTCTTATGCTGATAATTTTTAATAATACAAAAAACTATATATTGATTCTCATACTTGTATTATTGTTTTGATAGACTTAATATATGCTTAATTGATCAATATTTTATAATGGTAAAATTTCTTATATTAATCTATACATTATACCATTTAGAGGAGTAATTAATATCTATTGATTTGGAAGGGAGTTATTTGAAGCACTTTGAATTGGAAATTGGAGAGCTTAAATACTAAGAAGAAAAAACATATTCATAATCTTCCAAAAATTTGAAGAGTTTCAGATTTAAAAACTCTTTATGAAAAAAGAGTGCGTATTTTACCTAAGCTGGTAAGATTGATCATCTTTTTTGAGGAGGACTTAAGTAATCTAAACCTTTTAGTGTATTGAAGCTTGGGCTTATCAATATTAAGAGACATTTTCTTTCTTTTAAAAAACCATTTTTCTTTTTCCAATAAATCGAAAACTCTATCATCAATAATCGCAAAGATGTCCTCATATAAAAGAATTAAATGGCATCGAGAATATGTAATTGCGAAAAGTAAATTCTTTCATTTCCAATCACTTCTTGTTTGTTAAATATTAGAAAATATAATACAAGAAAAATAGAAGATTAAATCGAAACTCTTGATGGTAAAAAGGAGATCCATTCTTGTTTAAGATCCATAGAAAGTCAGAGCCTTATCAGGAAACACTATATGATGAACCTAGATCTAGGTACCATGAGAAATAGTATTTTTATTAAAAAGTCTATCTGTATCTTTTTTCCGAATTTAGTATATATTAGGTAAAATTTCTTATCTCATAATTTTTGTGTTGAAAATTTAGTCGTAAGAAGAAATGTACTAATAAAATAAGATGTCTATGACAATTAAACTACATTAGATAAAGCCCTATTATATAACCTAATTCGTAAGCTAATATCCTAGAAATAGCTAGCCTTCAAGCAAAGATATTAATATGATAAGAATACATTAATTCTTATGGATTAGATTAACTATTTAGATTGAGTGTTTTCTTAGAATTAAATTATTCTTTGACAAAGTGTAAAACATCAATAAGTTGCTTAATTGAAGGATGCCTTTTTATTAAATGTTAAAACAGAGCTGCATAATGAAATTTAAAGGGCCTTTACAAAAATTATTGAGTTCTTCATTTTTGATGATAAATTTAAATCTTAATTAAATTTTTTAAGATATCTGAATATTTATTCATATCTATTTTTTCTACAAAATTTTTGATTTCATTCTATATATTTAGGTGTCCTGAACTGTAGGATTCCAAGCTCATGTTTAATTTTGGCTGCTCCCTGAATTAATCTGCAATTTCAATATCTTAATGTTGTTTCTAAATTTCCAATAATGATTTTTCTCTCCATTTGTAAAATTTTAGTCTTGAATTTCCTGAAATGAGTAAAGAATAGAGACATTTATTATTAGAATTCAAATACTCATGAATATTTCAATATTTTTTTCAAAAGACATTGCTTTGTTTCTCTTTACATTTTACCTTCTTGCTATACTATGATCATCCAGATACTTTTACCAAATTCAATAATTGATGGTATCCTTAAATCTCATTCTGCCTTCTTACTAGGTTGATATCCTTGCTTCGATATAAGTCTATTATCTATTCCATATAAGAAAGCAGAGTATCAATTTAAAAAATGGAAGACTCTTTGATATAATTGAAATATTTAGTTGATAAGTCTTAACTATTATAATTCTGCTGACTACATTAGAATCCAACTGAATAAACGCATTCATCTTTGAAGTTTATTTTTGTTATCATGATTTAAAATATGTATAATACTCTATACAAAAATAAAGATTTTAATTGTGTTATTTTATTTTTATACAATTGTTAATAAAAAAATGAAAATTTTCTTATTTTAGATTTCAACTGAATAAAATTTGACATTTTATAAAAATAACAAACCAACTTCGCAATATTAATTATAAAGGCTTTTCCTAATTTAAATATTTAGAAAAAAAATTCCATTTAACAGTAATTTTCTTTAATTAAATGAAAACATCAGGAAAAGTTTCTCAATATAATGGTGCAACTGTTTAAATATTTAAATGTACGCTTATAAATTCAGGGAAGTTGATAAAAAAGCATTTGTATTGATATTTTAAACTATTTATGGGAGCATTGAGTTATTTTAAAATAGCTCCCTTTATTTATTATTTCAACAAAGAAAAATCAATAAAATAGATTTCATTTAGTGAGATTAATAAATACTTGTAATTAAGTAGTGAAGATAAATTTAGAAATCCATTTATTTGTGCTTTTTAAAGACAGAGCAAAACCTGTAAATATATTTAGGGATTTAATAATCCATCGTGTTGCTTTAGTCTCAATGATGATTTTAATGACAATTCAAACTATTCCTTAATTCTTAATATAAGGCTTTTATAACACAGGAGCAGAAATTGGGATGGATTTAATGTGATTAGTTTTTTTATTATTAATAAGTAATTTAATCTATTACTTTATGGAATTATAATTTATTGTATTCACTACAAATTATAGATAAATTCAAACAGAACTTTAATTTAAATTGAAGATAATCAAATTAAAGTTTATTTAAGAAACTAAATAACTATTAAAAGCTGTTTTAAAATATATTGAATTTGTTTAATCTTTTTATTTTCATATTAATCCAAGTAAATTCAATTCTTATTAAAAGAAGAGATGTATGATTCAAATAATAAGTTTCTTGATGAAGTATTGATTAATATGAGGTTGTTACTTTATAATATTTAGCTAATAGTTTTAAATTGATTAAAGTAGAATAAATAAGTCTTTTATATTATAATTAAAATTGTGAAGCATTTTTGTAGGATACTTTGGGAGATAAATTTTAAACTTTAAAGTTAAAATGAATTAAATCTTGAGAAATTATGGAATGATGAATTAATTGATTTTAATGCAGAAGAGGAGAAAGTAAAATAGATATAATTTATTGAAAATCCAAAAATTACTACTGGCTAATAAGCAATCAAATTGAACTAGCTTTTGAAAAATAATTAAATATAAATTTCTCCAAAGCCTTGATGTCAATTCACTAAAGAGGATCAACACTTAATAGAAGTATTAGTAATTGGTCTATCTATTATTCGTAAATAATTGATTATATTTTGTAAGGTACATTATAGAAAATAATTGATGAAGCAAAAATTCAAATTGCTCATATAACTAAAAAGATCTATTTCAAAAATCATTAGGAAATATTTAATTAGTGAAGAATTTGTATGATTATTATGAATAATGGAAAAAATTGAATTCATTTTAAGCAACTATTCAAAGAATTTGGTCATTTTTTAATGGATCCTTATAAATTATTTCACTTTTCTATTTAAATAATGAAGATGATATATTTATATATGCATTAATAGTTTTGACTATCATTAATCCAGTATTTTAAATTGTATCATTTGTAATATTTTAACAGCGTGTATTTAAACTTTTCAACTTTAAAATAACTGTCTTATATTCTATTATTTGCAATATTTAACATTTTTAAGATTTGGGATATTGTAATGATTTGTTTATATTTATTTGTAAAGGAATTCACTGATGTAGTAAAAAGAGAGTTTAGTTCTGTTACATACTTAAAATTCAAGAGTTATACATCAAAATTTTATGACAATTTAGCTACATAAGTATTTAAATATGAAACTGTTACTATTGATCCCAAGGCAATTTTGTAAATTAAGAATTAGCCATTCTATGAGGCTGTAATGTGGAGAAAAAATGTTGAAAAAGCTTTAAATAAAATTCCTTAGTTCTTTGTATATATATTCTTACTATTCACTAATGAATTTAATATGATGTGGTTTATGTCTTTCATTTAATAGCTAAAAGAAAGTGTATAGCCTTTTTCTATAGATGTAAAAGTATTAACTAAAAAAAATTAAAGTGGTGGAGGATCGTATGACTAGATAGGGGAGAGCATTAAGATTGAGATGTGGATTGAGTTGATTGATGGGTTTAAAAAATCAAATTTAAGACTTCAAACTGGTGAATATAAGAATGGTAAAAATGTTGGTACCTGGGTGCAAATGGATCTAAGGAAGAATTGATGGTTGAATAAAATATGATTATTGAAGAATAAAAATAACAGTTGTAAATGTTATTTGTTACATGTTAATTTTTGATTAGTTTTCTGTTTCCTTATTATTTTATTTGAATCAATTTATTCTCTTATAATTTATTTTTTGATTATGGGAATTTTATCTACTTTTGTCTTCAAATAGGATTCTATAAGCTCCAATAATTAATTGCATATATTGTATTTTTAATATACTTATCTAATACTATTTTTGTTTGTTTGAGAAATTAAGTTTATTTCTTTCAATCTTGTTTTTTAAATGCCCTAAAAGAAGAACAGGCATAGTTTATTTGATTAATTATTTAGATATATGTTAATGTATCGTGATTACAAAGTAAATTTACTCATTTTTAAAGAAATTTAAAACATTTTGAAATGTTTTCATTTATCGAAAAATATAGGATTAATTTGAGAATAGCAGAAATATTCACTAGTATTCAAAAAAAAAACTTTTGTTAAATATTTAAAGTCTAATACAACAACAACACTCAAGGAAAAATTTTATAGCCAAGATAACTATTTTTATAATAATACTTCTATAATTATTCAATTATCTTATTGAATTTATTCACTTATTTTATTAGATGGCAAATCCATTTCCACCTATTGACTTTCTTACTTCCCTTACTTCAATTCATCATGATAAATATATTATAATTCCTTACTAAAACTATTGCTCAATTCAATCCACAACCCTGTCTTCAATGAATCTTCTTGATGATATAATCCACCACCACTAGAATTTTTATCTAACAATATTTACATTTTTTCAAATTGTTGCTGGCCTGGCTTTCTGTAAAAAATATCCCATCTGCCAACCTTTCTGCTGTTTTTATATTCGCCATTATAAATGACTTAATAATATTCATTAAAACTATCGCACTCCTCAATCCATCTACCAATCTTTATTGTGCCTTCCTCATCATATAATCCACCCCCACTAAAATATATTTTTTATCTACATCTATTCATAGTTATAAGCTCCATAAGTCTTCTTATAATAAATATCCCATTTACCAACCTTTTTTCCTTTTTTATACTCACCATTATAAGTGATTTAAGAAGAATTTGAGAAACCTTCGCTTAACTCAATCCATCTTCCAATCTTTAATGAATCTTCATTATATTATCCTCCACCACTAAAAATTAGGCTAATTCTTATTATTTACTAATTGATTCCTTCGTACAAGATGTCCCATCTTCCAATTTTTTTACCTCTGTTGTAACAACCATTATAAGTGACTTAAGAATTATCTCTGAATCTTTCACTAAGCTCATTCCACCTTCCAATTTTAATTTAACATCCTTTATCATATGATCCACTACCACTAAAATATTTTATTTTGATAATTACATCAATTCAAATTATTGCTTTAGGAGGTTCCAAAAAAATACATCCCAAATACCTATTTTGTTTCCATTTTCATACTCGCCATAGTAAATAGCTTGAGACCATCGATCAAATCCATCTTTCAATTCAATCCACTTTCCAACCTTAATTGAACCTGCTTAATTATATGATCCTCCACCACTAAAATATTTATTATTAATAAGATAAGGTTACAAATAATCTCCTTCGAAACTAGTAATCCATTTATTAACTTTTTTCCCGTTTTAATATTCACCATACTAAACTATTTATGAATCATATTTAAATTCATCACTCAATTCTGTCCAATATCCAACTTTATAAGAACCTAATTCATCATATAATCCACCACCACTAAATTTCTATTTTATTTTTACATTTATTCAAGTTGTTCATTTCCATTCATCATATACAATATTTCCCATTTACCAACTTTCTTATTATTTCTATATTCACCTTAATAAATAACCTAGGACCATTTTCCGTATTCTTCCCTCAATTCAATCCACTTTCCAACCTTAATTGAACCTCCTTCGTCATACGATCCCCCTCCGCTAAAAATTATTTTTTTAACAAATTATGTTACATCTCTTCTCCTTCCTATTTAGTAATCCATTTATTAATTTTTTTCCCATTTTAATATTCTCCATAAAAAACTATTTATGAGCCCTAATTAAATTCGTCACTTAATTCAGTCCAATATCCAATCTTATTATGACCTTCATCATCATATAATCCACCTCCTCTATACAATTTGATTGAAAGAAATACAATTTTTCATATGTTTCCTGTTCATCTTTTCGAAATAAAATATCCCATTTAGCAACCTTCTTACCATCTTAATATTCACCTCTATATATAACTTAAGAGAAATTATCATATCCTATGCTTAGTTCGTTCCATTTTCCAATCTTTATGGAGCCTGATTCATCATATAATCCGCCCCCACTAAATAATTCATACATAATATGATTACATAAGTTCAAATGGTTGATCCACATCTTTTCTATAATAAATATCCCATTTACCAACTTTTTTACCATTTTGATATAAACCAATATGTGTAATTTATGAATATTAAGAAAATTAATCATTTAACTCTATCCATTTACCATTTCTTTAACCTTACTAATTGTATTTTCCCCCACCACTAAACTTAGTAAATTTATAATACATTTCCTAATCCATATAAATGTATTTCCATGTGCCTTTCCTCAAATTATTCTTATATTTTCCAATTTCATACACCTATGCTTTACTTATTAATAAATAAATTTAATTAACCTCCAATAATTCTTTATTAATTCTTTCCATAGACCTTACTTTAATCCTTTATCTGAGTAATAGCCACCAACATCTACTAAGGTTTATCCCTTCCATGTGGCTATCCATTTATCTATTTTTTCATTATTCTTTCCATATTCTCCAAACCAAAATAAATATTATATCTATTCCAAATTGGTTAAAACCTCCTATTTTATCTATTAGTCTTTGATATAATCTCTAATTTAATTATGAACTACTACATTCTTATAATAGATCCATCCTAAATATACTTTATTTCATTTTGATTCTCATAAGAAATTATGAACTTTTTTTTTATTTTTCTAGGCGGAATATCTGTATAATCCCATTAGATTCCATCTATTTCTTAAATCCTTGCACCCTCTTGAGGTTTTTCTATATGTGATAATCTATTGAGATCAATATAAGGATTCATATTAAAATATAAATAATTCTAAAATTTCTTAACTATTTTTAGTATGCTTATATACATAACTTTAATGTGATTTTAAATTAAACACAGATATTTTACAAACAACAAAAAGCACAGGGATATTTTAAAAATTTTAAGAAAATATAATGAAGAAAAGAATAGAGCAAAATGATTTAGTTATCAAAAAAAATTGAATATAAAAGTAAATAAAAGTTTTTTAAATAAAAAACTAAATTACAATTTTAAAATATATTTAATGAGACTACTTATAATTCATAAATTATGATATATTCTTTAAGTATTTAACAATTTAATAAGACTATTTTCCTAAAAATTTTGCAGATGTAATTTAATTAAATCCTCTAGAAATCTATTCCTCTTTTATTTTTTGATTTTTCTGATTATTGGTTTAATAATTTTTGTTTTTATTGGCTCTTATTATTTGGAACGTTCTGAATAATATTATTCTATTCTATGAACAATAAAAGATGAATATACACATTTAAATTGCACTTTAGAATAATTTTTATTGTTTATTATTTAAGTCTTTATTATTAAATTAATGTCAATTTATTTGAAAATATTCCATATATTCTAAAATTATAACATAGAATATTAAGTGCTAGATGAAAGAGTAATCAATGAAAATATATAACAGAATATAATAATTTAATAAAATTATTTTTCTTATTTATCATAAATCCTTAACTTAATTCAAATTTGATATCTTATTTTTTCTTTTGAAATAAAATCACTTGGTAGAAGAGTAACAGATAATTTATACTTTAAAAAGTACTGATTCAAAAAGAGTTGTAACAATATAAATATTTATCATATTTTTTATAGTTTTTCACAGCATGTACTTAAATAATAATTTTTGCCTTCCACCAATTTTTCTTAGATTTCCATTTTTAAGTAAAAATGATCTGCATGAATAAATATTTGTTTGATGTAGGTAGGATTCAATTTAAGAGTATAAAAAATAGGTGTTTGAGGAACGAAATAAGGATGATCCCATATTACGAAATTGGAAATATTAGAGAATAACAAATTCAAGAAAAACGGAAGAAAATTAGAATGTTACTATATTATTCATTTCTTTTGAGTCCATAATTTGTTGAAACAAATTGTAAATAGGAATAATAATGATATGAGAGGAGCAAATTATAATCTTTTCAATATCTTTAAGAAATTGATAGGATTAATTTCTAAAAATAAATAATGATATAGAAATTGTATCCATTTGTGATAATATAATAATGATTAAAATTTTTATTTATATGTTATAAAAGGTATTCCAATTTTTATGAATAATAGAAAATTATAGGCATATTAATAATTATATGAAATATTAATTTTTTCCAAAGAATATTGTTAATAATAAACAAGAGAATTCAGATTAAATGAAAGTTATATACTAATTACAATAACATTTATCAATCAATTAAATTGAGAATTGTTATTCAATAGATTTTAGTAAAGATTGCAATACTATAGCAGTTGGAGAATTGTTAATAATCAAGGTATATTGGTTCACATTAGAGAAGATAAAGTTAATTAATACATTATTAGGTCATAGAAATGAGATTTCAATGTTAAGATTTATGTTAAAGTCTAATAATTTAGTTTCTACAAGTTTAGATGGTTCAATTTCTATATGGCCTTAGTGCCTATTAGCAAAACCATTAAAAAGTTACAAATTATTAAATCATTAGAAGGGTATTATATGTTACACAATAAATTCTGATGAAAGTCTTTTTATTACTGGTAGTTATGATAGCACTATGAATGTTTGGATTAAAAAAGATAATTAATGGATTTGCAAATAAAAATTAACTGATCATACTAGTGCTGTATATGGAATTAGTATGAATGAAAATTAAAATACAGTTATCTCTTGTGGTTATGATAATAAAATCTTAATATATGCAACACATTTTTTTGAAGATTCATAATTATTAACAAAGATACAAACAATAAATGTAGATAATTATGGATTTAGATTATGTTTTATTAATAATAATAAATTTGTTTTTTAGCCTTAAAATGATGAGAATTTGATAATTTATGAATTAAATGATAATGATGGAAAATTTATAAAAACTAAGGAGTTAGGTATGAATAATGGTATATATTGCCATGAATACTTTC